AAAACGCAACAATGACATAGAAGTACAAACTGCTATTACTTAAAGAAGTAGAAAGAGTTTTTGTTTATATAAGTAAAGATTTAGATATGCATTATTTTTAAATTAAGTTAATTAAAATATATTATAGACTTATAAAATAAAAAGAAAATATAAAAAGGATAGCCTATATGATTAATATTATAGTATAACGATGAAAAAATATCATATTATATAAATAAGAAAAGTATAAGGAAAGGAAATTTTAATATATGTTAATTAAATAGGAATTTATTTTCATGCAAATCTTATATATTACATTTATATAAAATTTCAATCATTTATCTTTTTACTTTCAATTATTAAATTTATTCATATTTATTAAAAATAATTATTTTTTTATCTAAAAATTGTAATAAATCTCAACTATTAAAAATGTAGAAATAAATAATTAAGATTTTGTGTAAGTATAGCGTGTAAAATTTATTTATAAATAGATCTCTCCTCTTGTTAATTATAGTTTTGTTTTACCAAAAAAATCAAAAAATATTTTCTGAAAAAATAAAGAGTAAATATATTATATTATTTAATTAAGTTGTTTTGTAAATGGACAAACTAGTCAATTTGAAGGTAAAATTATAAATCAAACCAATAATATTAGTTTTAAAATTTTATAATCCAAAGGTACTAGATTTTAGAAATTTTTCCGGTGCATATTTTCAAAAAAAAATTAGAAATTTCTCTTGAATTGACTCTTTACTGAACCTAATAGCTAGGTTCAACAAAGCCTAACAAATTTGGGTTCAATGGTTGTAGTAGGAAAGAGGAAGAAAAAGAGAGAAAGGGGGGAAGAAGATGGATCAAGACGGAGAGGGTAATAACATAACTTTGTTGCTTTTTTTTTTTTATTAAAAATATGAATATTCACATGATGTGGCATTTTTATTTATCCATGTAATGCATTACAAGACATGTCATTGCCACCTCATCAAAAGAATTAAAAGAAAATGTCATTTGGAATTATTTAACGGCCACGTCATCCTTAACTCACAGAGGGATCAAAATTGTGCAGTTACTAAAGTTGAGGAATAAAAAAAGTGCAAAAAATAGTTGAGGGACAAAAAAATGCAACTCTATAAAGTTGAGGCACCAAAATTAGCATTTAACATATTTTTAATGTATCTTACCCATTTTATCCTATCTTTTTAATGTTATTACATTAAAAAACTTAACTTTAAACTAAAATTAGATTAAAAAACCCTAATCAGAAGGTCAAAAAGGTCAAAAACAAAACGAACATCCCTCTCCCTTATCCCTACTCCACCTCTATTGGCATCTCACTAGTCACCGCCTCATCTCCTCCACCGAACAACAACAACAAAGTAGCCAGATGTCCCTGTTCCACCTCTGTCGGCATCTTGCCAATCACCACCTCATCTCCTCCATCAAACAAAAGCAGCAAAGTAGCCTGATCTCCTTGCTCCATCTCTATTTAATAACAGTGGAGAAGAAATGAAAAAGAAGAAAGTGAAAGAGGAAATCTCGAGTCTTCTATTCATGAAAAAGTCTATACAAAATCTCTATTTATATATATGGCAATAATAGCACTTCAGGACACTTGAGGATTGACTTGTATTAAGTGCCAAACATTGGGGATTAACTAGCATCAACATTATTCCTTCTAACACCCCCCCCTCAAACAGATGTCATTGTGTAACATTGACATTCTGTTTGTAATCCACTCATGTTGTGAAGTAGGAAGACCTTTAGTGAAGATATCTGCTAGTTGCTTAGTTGAAGGGACAAACCTCAAATGAATTTCTTTATCTTCTACCTTTTCTCGAATGAAGTGGCAATCCAACTCAAAATGTTTGCTCCTTACATGAAAAACGGGATTTAAAGCAAGCTTCATGGCACTTTGATTATCACAAGCAAAGGCAAGTTCAGCAGTTGCATCTGACACGGCCTTGTATTCAGCTTTTGTGCTAGATCTAGACACCTTTCGTTGTTTCTTGCTACTCAATGAAATGGGGGAACCAGTAAAGAAGACACAAAAACCAAAAATGGATTTTCTAGAATCTGGATCTCCTCCCCAATCAGCATCTGAGAAAGCAACCAGATCAACTTTTGTCTTGTGAGCTGAAAAGAACAAGCCATTATGTAGTGTACCTTTGATATACCCTAAAATCCTTTTTGCAACTTGAAGATGTGCCTCTTGTGGATCATGCATGAATTGACATACTTGATTTACTACATATGTGATATCTGGTTGAGTAAAGGTCAAGTATTGCAAAGTTCCCACAAGACTTCTATATCGCTCAGGATGCTTTACAAGAGTGCTTTCCTTTTGAGACAATTTACTACCAAGAGCCACTGGTGTTGGTGCCGGCTTACAATTATCTAAGCCAAATCTTTTCAAAAGATCAAGAGCATACTTTTGTTGAGTTACTTTCATTTCATGTGATGAGTGTTCAATCTTTATCCCCAAAAAATATTTAAGATCCCCTAGATCTTTCATGGCAAACTCATGACCAAAAGTATGCTTCAATTGTCAATTGACTCCTTAGCATTTCCAATGATAATAATGTCATCAACATAAACAAGTACCATGACTAATATTATACCTTCTTTCCTAAGGAACAAGTAGTTAGCTGATTTACTCCTAGAATATCAACTTAAGAGAAGTGTTTTGCAGAGACTTTCAAACCAAGCCCAAAGAGCTTGTTTCAATCCATAAATTGCCTTTCTTAATTGACAAACCCATTTATTAGTATCAGCAACATTGTACCTTGGAGGTTGCTCCATATACACTTCTTCTTGTAGTTCTTCATGTAAGAAGGCATTTTTCACATCTAATTGATGAAGTGGCCATTCATAGTAATTTGCCATGGCCAAAACTAGTCTCACATTCCCTATTTTTACAACTAAACTGAAAGTTTCTTCATAGTCCAATCCATATTGTTGATTGTAGCCTTTAGCTACCAAACAAGCCTTGAATCTTTTAATTGTACCATCAAACTTGTGTTTAATTTTATAAACCCATTTGCACCCAATTACATTTTTCTTCTTAGGTCTAGGAACCAACTCCCATGTGCCATGTTGAAGTAGTGCCTGAAGTTCTTCATTCATAGCATCAATCCACCATGGCTGTTGCATTGCTTCATGAAATGAAGCTGGTTTTGAATCTTGACAAGTCACAGAGAACTTGGAGCAATTATTTTCCTTTTCAATGTTTGCAAAGAGTGCCCAATCTTCAATAGGAAAATAACGTCATGGTTTAGTTTCACGAGAAGACCTTCAAGGCAAATTCTCATCTTTTATGGCTGTATTCTAGTTGCTTGTATTTTGAGTGTCATCTACAAGACTTTCACTTGTATTTTCAAATTTTGATGGCTCAAGAATAGGGCAAGGAGACTATGGACTTACAAGAGCTTCATTGCTTGAGTTGGGTTGTTCAATTTCTCCATTGATGAACTGATTTAAAGCTTCTGGAGCCATACCATCACTTGCTCCCTTTGATGGATTTCAAAGGACATAGATGAATTGTATCTGAGAGATGCTGAATTTGAAGCTAAATCAGCACCTTCACCTGCAAAGATAAAAGTAGAACTATCATAGAAAAAATGATTTTCATCAAATGTAACATGTGAAACATAGACCTTCTTTGTTTTTGGAGAATAACACCTGTATCTTTTGTGTTCATTACTGTAACCAACAAACACACAAGCTTCTTATTTTGGAGATAATTTCTTTCTAAGAGCCTTGTCAATATGAACATAACACTTACATCCAAATGCCCTCAAAAATGGATAATCAAGCAACCTTCTTGTTACCATCTGATATGGAGACATGTCATCTGGGTTTGTAGAAGTTGGTAGCCTATTAATGACAAACACAGTTGTATGAAATGCTTCTGTCCACAAATGATTTGGAACTCCATTGTGGAACATTAATGAAAGTCCCAATTCAATAATATGTTTGTGCTTCCTTTCAACAACTCCATTTTGAGATGGAGTGTAAGGACAAGAAAACTGTTGCTTTATTCTCATGGAAGAGTAGAAAAATTTGAATGCTTAGAGTAGAATTTAGTTCCATTATTGCTCCGAAGGAATTTAATTGGCAACTGATAATGCTTTGTCATCAAAGC